CCAACTTGGGCGTGCAGTTCATTACGGCCGAAAATAAAAAAGCCCCTACAATTCGATTTGTAGGGGCTTTAAACACCAAATTGGTTGCATAAACGACATGGGCAATGCATATTATACGGAAATTAGTCGAAATTACCTCAAAAAATCGAAACCCAATGGCTATTCGAGCTTGATTTGTTCGTTTTCGAATTTTTTTTTTTTTTTTTTTGCTATTTGCGGTTTTTGGGTTTTGAAAGTTTAGAGAGAGAGGGGTTTTTTTTTATGAGCCGCGAATAGCAAAAACGCAGCCGCGAATAGCATTTCCGTTTATTCACACATTCAATTGCACGTTCTCTTATTCAAAATTTAAGTAATTACATATAGAATAAATCCAAATATGACTGACTTAGATTTCAATTAAAATAAATAAATAAAATCAATTTATTGCACTTCTTACTAACTGTACTATTATTATTGGGGCTATTTGTCAAACACCCTTCATTGAATTTTGACTTTCTTGATAAATTTATTTTTTTTAATTGATATTTGATATAAATTCAATTACCTCGAATTATCCAAAATGCCCCTATTTAATATTATTGAAAATTTCCATATTATATTATTTTGAAAACTCCATCATTTTTTTGGTAGATATGCAAATCCCCATATTTTCTTCCCACCATCACCTATTCTCTCTTTTCTCTCTCGTATCACGCCACTTTCTCGTTCATTAATTAATTAATTAATTGGGTTTTCTTTTTCATGTTTAAGTTTTATCATTCATTTCCTTAATTAATTAATTAATTAATTGGATTTTCTTTTTTATGTTTAAGTTTTTATCGTTTTTTTTATTTTTTAAATGATTTATTTATACATCTCTTTTTTAAAGTTAAATTTATAAAAGAAATTGTTTTTAACAAATTGAAATCCACTATAAATTTACCAAAAACCACTATTTGATTATAGTATTCTGTTACGAAAATCCATTATAAATTTATCGAAAATCTCTATGTAATTGAAAACTACTCTATAATTAATGAAAACCACTCTGTAAATTAACGAAAATCACTATATATTTAGCAAATTTTATTACAAAAATTCACTTAAAACATATCAATTAACAAAAATCACTCAATAATTAATGAAAATCACTCTGTAATTAACAAGTACCATTACAAAAAATCACTAAAAACTTATCAATTAACGAAAACCAATATGTAATTAATTTAAACCACTCTGTAATTAATGAAATGAAAACCGACAATTGGATTAATACGGAGATTATCAAGAATGAAATGAGTGGAATAATTGCTATTATAGTGTGTGTGTGTGAGAGAGAGAGAGAGTGTGAGTGTGTGTGAGAGAAAGGAGTGTGTGTGAGAGAAAGTAGAATTTGATGAAGTATGATTATGTATCTTTACAAATGTTGTTGAAGTAATACTATCAGCATTTTATCCAGCAAAATAATGGTGGAAATTTAAACCTCCGTCTTGATGTTTGCGCATTTATATATATATATATATATATATATATATATATATATATATATATATATATATACCAGAAGATTTAGATAGAAAATAATGAAGGGTATAATGGTGATAATTAATTATTTTTTGTTAATAAAAATTGTTTTGGATTTATCTTAAAAATGTGAAATAAATTTAAGCCTATTGTAACTACACTTGTGTAATGAGGGGGTTTGCCAAATTTTCCCCTTATTATTACTATTTAGCAAATTATTGCCTAAAATTCACTATTTAAAATATTGTGTGCTAAAAGAAAGTCTAAATCAAAATTTAATAAAACAAAAAGTATGGAATAAAAAAATAAGAAATAAATTTAGGACAAAAAAGGTAGTAGACTAGAGACCAACGTGGTCCTTTACCCGTCCAGCACTACGTACTCATCATCCTCCATTAATTCTCTAAAGCACATTCCCCATGTTACTTTACATAATCCGTATTATACCACCACGGTGCACTTATCACTAAATTAAATACTTTCATTAACATTTTTAATTAATTTAATTGTCTAAAATCATGGAATATTACATATTTGAAATATTATATTAAAAAGTGCGGCTACTGCTGAGAGAGTGTGTTAGAGAGAGAGAGAGAGAGAATCTAGATCTTGCAGAGCACAGAAGCTTCTCCTTTACAGACTCTCTTTTCTTCTCTCTCATGCTTTCTCTCTCTTACTTTCTCTCTCCTAAATCTTTGGTGACCAGTGAGAGAGAATTTAGGACCAGAGATGAATAAGGTGAAACAAAAGAACATTTAGAGAGAGGTTTATCAACAAAATAACAACAACAATGAAATTTAATTACATTGCTATTTTCTTGATCCTAACATTGGTGGTCACTTCTTTCAGTGTCCAATCCACTGCTAATGAACAAGAAGAAGAAGAGATAATTAACAGAAGAATTCTCCACCAACCATTATTCCCCGCCGCCTCATCGCCGCCACCTCAGCCACCGCCGCCGCCGCCGCCGACTAACTTCCCGGACCCAGAACAACCGTTCTTCCACGAGCTCCCAAATGGGCAAACGCCGGATCAGAACCAGCAAACCCCACCGTCACCATCCACAGCGGCGGCGGCGAACTCAGTCGCCGCCGCGAAGCCGCACAATCAAACTAAGAAAATAGCAATTGCAGTAACGTCGGCGATTTTAGCCCTCGGAATGGTGTCGGCGTTGGTGTTTTTCGTCCACAACCACCGCGCGAAAAACCCAGACGAGTCCCGGAAACTCGTCGGAGCAAATTCACAGAGAACCAACGAGGAATCAAGAATGCCGCCGTCCACTTTCCTCTACATCGGAACAGTTGACCCTTCAACCAGAAGCATAACCAGCGACACCACCGACGCCACCGGCTCGCCGTACCGGAAACTGAACTCGGGGAAAAGATCCGACCGGTACAGACCCAGCCCCGACCTCCAGCCCCTACCGCCGCTGACGAAGCAGCCACCCCCACCGCCGCCGATCATAAACTCGCCGCCGCCGATGTCGTCCTCCGACGACGAGAGCCACGATACAAATTTCTACACTCCACAAGGCTCGTCTCTGAGCAACGGGTCGCCCGGTTCACGTATCAGTCAATTAAATCAGAATCGTAATTTCATTAATTCAATCCCTCATTCCAAAAGAACTTCACCCAAATCCCGCCTCTCTGCTTCCTCCCCCGATAAAAAGCCTGTAATAATACCCTCAATCAAGCAATCCCTACCACCAACACCGCCGCCGCCGCCACCACCGGCAACTTCTTTAGGCCCACTCCTCCCCAGCAAAATAACACAGTCACACACTCCTAAAAGAGCCAAATTCCCAGCACCACCTCCACCACCAGACATGGCACGGCTCAGATCAGTAATCACCGATGTTCATCACCAGAAACCCATTGCTCCAATTCCACCACCGCCACCGCCACCTCCCCCCCCACCACCACCACCACCACATACCCCAATCCCCATAAAAATCGGATCTTTCGAAAAACACACCCCTCCACCAGTTCCCAAACAAATGATAAAACCCATTATTGATGAAGATAACAGGGTTGTCAGTTCATCAGAAAAAGCTGACGACGCGGCGGCCGCGGAAAAGGATGGATCCAAACCAAAACTGAAACCTCTGCATTGGGACAAAGTACGTGCCACGTCAGACAGGGCCACCGTTTGGGACCAGTTGAACTCAAGCTCATTCCAGTAAGTTCTAGAAAACAAACTTATACAACTAATGTTGGTGTACAACAGTTTGTATGAATCTGAATCATTGTACCTACATACATACATACAGGCTGAACGAGGATGCAATGGAATCACTTTTCGGATGCAGCTCTGCAAATTCGGTTCCGAAAGAAGCTTCTAGAAAGTCAAGCCTACCTTCTTTGGAGCAGGAGAACAGAGTGCTTGATCCGAAGAAATCCCAGAACATCGCTATACTGATACGCGCACTAAATGTGACTACGGACGAGGTTTCCGAAGCACTTTTAGATGGTATGATGATACTCCTTTATTTATGATAGTAGGTTTACGGGTAGTCAAAATCGGGATTTTTAAGTGAAACTGAACGAGGATTGTAGAATCGTAATTCGTAAAAAAACAGATCATAAAATCGTGGGGTTCACTTGTTTCGAAGAAAAAAGAAAATTTGCATTTGGCCAAACGAATTCACTTCTACCCCGATTATGATCCCGATGTAAAATTGTAGTAAAAAACTCATAGATTTTAAAGATTTTACTAGCAAACTTGAAGGATTTTGCTTGATGGTAGTAAAACCGTAAAATCCTACAATTTTAATCTGGATTTTAACTTCCCATCAAAAACCCTAACAGAGGATTTCTAGGTATATTGCAAACTATGCCGTAGTCTCGGACTTCTAGAAAAATCCAATTTCACTCGTACAAAAGTTAGTAAAAAATAAGAACACTTAAAATGCTGAGGTCATCACCTAGCTGTGATTACAGTGCTTAGTTATGACACCGGAAAAAATGTTAATTTATGTGCAGGAAATCCAGTGGGATTAGGTCCAGAGCTATTGGAGACTTTAGTAAGAATGGCGCCGACAAAGGAGGAAGAGATAAAACTCAAAGACTACAATGGTGAAGCCTCGAGACTGGGGCCCGCGGAGCGGTTCCTCAAGTCAATACTCGATGTTCCTTTCGCCTTCAAAAGAGTCGAAGCCATGTTGTACAGAGCCAACTTCGATACAGAAGTAGCTTACTTACGAAACTCCTTTCAAACACTAGAGGTACTCTATCAAAAAAGAATATTCCTTAACCTACATAGAGCATTTCTAATCTAATTCATAATACCTGCGCAGGAAGCAAGTGAAGAATTGAAGAAGAGCCGGCTATTCCTTAAACTCCTCGAAGCGGTTTTACGAACAGGTAATCGAATGAACGACGGCACTAATAGAGGCGATGCGAGGGCTTTCAAATTGGACACATTGTTAAAACTAGTCGACGTGAAAGGAACCGACGGCAAGACGACTTTGCTCCACTTTGTTGTCCAAGAAATTATTAGGTCCGAAGGAGCGGATGTGGGCCCCGCGAACGAAGCTTTGCCGAGTAAAAACTTTAAAGAAGAGGAATTTCGGAAGCAAGGTTTGCAGGTCGTTTCTGGATTAAGCAAAGAGCTGGTCAATGTTAAAAAATCAGCGGGAATGGATTCGGATGTATTGAGCAGCTACGTATCCAAGCTCGAAACGGGACTCGATAAAATCAGATTGGTCGTTCAGTACGAGAAGCAAAGCATGCAGGGCAAATTCTTCGATTCGATGAAGGAGTTTCACAGCAAGGCTGTCGAGGAAATTACAAGAATTAAAAGTGAAGAGAGAAGAGCGCTTTCGCTTGTGAAGGAAGTGACGGAGTATTTTCACGGAGATGCGGCGAAAGAAGAGGCGCATCCTTACAGAATTTTCGTGATCGTACGAGATTTTCTCTCTGTGTTGGATAATGTGTGCAGAGATGTGTGGAGGATGCAGGATAGAGCTACAACGGGGGCAGGAAGGTCATTTCGAGTGCCGGTGAATACATCTTTGCCGGTTTTCAATAGGTATCACGTGGGGCCGTGACGGAAAAAAACCCGCAAATGGAAGATCTTGTGCAATGTACAGCCATAGCACCATGTTTCACAGGACATGAAAATGCAGAATATATACCTCAAAACAATATATACAGAATCTACAGGTAGAAGAAAATGAAATAAGCAGCTGTCTCTTTATCCATTGATATACATAATATGTAGAAAACAATAGAGTTCAATTGCGCACGAGTTTAAATTATTTTGAATAATATAAAACAAAAATTATTTCTCGATTATTGTTGAAGTAATCATCTACTGTTTTGAATCACATAACATTACACTGATGATAACTACAAGCGCTGAATAATATAAGGAGAGAAATATGACCTCTAGGTGTTTGTGAAAATGCCGCTTCCACGCGAGTGAATGGTGAAGGGAGACACGCGCCGGAAAAAGTTGATCCAGAGCAAAAGCTGCGGCCGGAGTATTATAAAATCGGTGGATCCCCCACGCCGGGAAGCTGAGGAATGATGATGAATGGATGTGGATTTTGTGGCTGCGCGTGAAAAAGGCTTTCCATCCATGATCCATGGTGATTTTTTTTTTTTTTTTTTTCTTAACAGTTTAAAATGAATAAATTAGGTTCGATAAATGATATTAATTAATTAGTTTTTATGGATTTCCGAAATAGCCCCGAATTCAAGATCCAATATACAATAGAATCTCGATAACCTAATAAAATACTTAATAACTTCTCTCGTTTCTGACTCGATAAAAACGTACTAACTTAAGTAGTTTGATAATTTAATATTTCGCTAAATTAATAAAATTTTGCTTGTCCAAACTATATTAATTTATAGAGATTTAACTGTAAATATTGGACCACCACTACTGGTATCATAATTTAAGTATATCATTTTTCTTTTTTAATTTGGATGCAAAACTCAAATAAATTCAGACCCGTAATGGAAACTAAAATCGCCAAAATTTAAAGAATCAATAAACTTAGGATTTATTTTTTAATTATTATTAAATTGTGGACCTTGTTGAGAAATAACACATTTTAACAATTCTAATACTACATTTAATTTAAAAAAATATATATTTTACTAAAGTTGGTTCGAAGTTCGAACTCTGCCCCAATAATTTGTTTTAATAATTTATGTATTATTTTTACTAGAATAGAAGAAATGCAATAATAAGTAAATAAATAAATAAATTATATTATATAAACTTCTGCAATATTTGTTTTAGCTACAAATATACCCTTTTCTTAATTTACAACTTATTACAAAGTACGAACAAAGAATTATATGCATTCAAAATTATCTCGTCTACAATGAGAAAAATTAAGTTGTTGATTCCAATGAAAAATATGGTCCTCCACTAATACTCTTCGATCTCACTATCTTCTTCACCAAAATCCTCCACGTCATCTCTTCTTTCTTGCTCTGTTTTCTTCTCCTCTGCCTAAACTTCCTGCAAATTCCCACCACAATTCCCAGTCATTTAGCAACAAACCCCACTAATTTTCTTGATTAAAAACATGATTAATTAAATAAATGTAATTACAACAAACCTGCACAAAGGCACTCTGCAGTCATCCGAATTCGCGCAAAGTCGAGAGTGCAGCTCCAAAATCTGCCACATCCTCTTGCAATGGACGCAACCACCTGGCCTTCTCATCTTGCACTCGGCAAAGTGTCGAACGAGCGCTTCGAGCCCTTTACAAGCCGAGTACGGGCATGGGGTATTATCGTCTTTTGGCGGGACCTTGTCGTGGGGCCCGATTGTCCGACACCCGTCTCTGCATATATGCACGAGTGCCTCCATCGCCTCGTACAGTTGCATGTAGACTTTCCTCTCGTTCATCTTCCTCGTAATCTCCTTTTTCCTCTGTGAAAAAAAATTCAAAACAAAAATAAGTCACCGTTATTAGATGATTAGCGATATTAGACGATGTTAGTATTTTAATTTATTTTGTAAATTACTTACGAAATCTTCGTGCCTGACGGAATTGGCTAATTCCTTTTCTAGGACGGGGTGACTCTGTTTCATGTCTTTCCATCCGTCCGATGAAGAAACGGACTTGAAATTCGATAGAATGAAACGGTGGGAAATGAGGCTAAGACGAGGGACATCACAGAGCAATGCCAGCTGGAATATATCGACTGCGTTTTCCGTGTTCATCAATTTATGCTCGAGCCAACACTCGCAGAGTCTCTTTAATTGAGGAACCACGTACGCATGCGATAATACCAATAAAGGCAACGCGTATTCCTTCATGCTCTCTTCTTCGTAGCTGTATATGTAATATTTCGAATTAGCCCACAATAAATAAATAAATAAATAAGGATGAAATATTTCACTAATTGTATATAAAGAATTTACCATGAAGAATATAAAAATCGAATAAAAACACGAACTGCTTCTGACGGAACTCCGCGTATGGAGATTGAGCGGCGATTGCTTTGGCCTCGGGTTTTTATTTTGTTTAACATAGCCTTGAAAATTGGAGAAACCACACCCTGTAATAAAATTTTAAGCCAACAAATTTAGCCTTGATTTATATTTATATACATATAATTGCTCTATTAATCAATGAATAAAAAAATCAAGAACATACAAGAATGCTGGAGTGTGCATATATTACACCACCATCATCTGTCAAAATTGTGACATCGGCTCGATAGCCTTCGTCGAATAGGCGGTCCCACGAACTATTTACAGCAATGCTAGGGAGAAAGCTGTGCCCTCTGATCTTCGATCCGGTTATAATCAAGCCCTTGTGATGAAATCTTGTGTTGAAATGAGGTGGCATTGGAGGTGGATGAGGTAATGATTTCTCCATACGCGAGGGGGATTCTTCGTTTCTTCGATCCATTTTTTTTTTTTTTTTCCGATCCCTGCAGATCCAGAATGAACCACCATTTGTCAGACATTAATTTGTTTTGATTAATTGATTCTTGATTGCCCTCAGTGCATTGCACATGTTGATGTTTGTATTACAAGTCAATTTTTTGCTTAATTTAAAGAAAGCAATCTCATATTCTATTTTTGCAACTTTGATCCTTCATAGAAACCTAAGGCAAGGTTGTAATAAAATTCTCTAAAAAAAATACAGTAAATTGTCCTTTTCAATATTAATAATTGGTAAAGGCAAAACAACATTCAACCACCCCCCACCCCCCTCTTTCCCATTTCCACCTACCCATCAAATAATTGCCCACCGACAAGATCATGAATCAAAATTAAAAATAAAAATAAAAATCTCACCCTAATATCTTAAAATCCACAATGACCTAATGAAATCGTTAAAGCATAAAAAAAGGGGGAAACACACAAAACTCAGAAATTGGATATCTACACATTACCTTTGATTATGAAGAAGGTCAAATTCGTCTTTCTCTCCCACAATTAGTGATTTTGCTACAGAAAAAAAAAAGACTGGATTTTTACAGAGACGAACCTTTGTTGTTCTTGCTGAAAAGGGGGGGTGATAATCGGCTATTTCTGAGGGGTGCGAAAGGAAGGGGAGAAAGAGGAGAATCGAAAGAGAGAGAGAGAGAGAGAGAGAGAGATTTTCAGAAACTAGATGATTGTGATATATATAGAGAGAGAGAGAGAAATGGGGTGAATTTTGAACTTGAATTGACAGACATGCGTTTAAAATGTGAACAAGACAGCTTGGTCAGGGATTTAAAATATGTGGGAAATGACGTGGAACTTTGTCAGATCCAACGCTGCTGGGTTTTTTTGTCTTTTGTCCAATTTCCACCCCAAAAACGTGCGGTCCTTACCGTGTACTTTTCCGTCATTTTACTATTTTTATTAATATATATGCAATAATTAGCTCCAAATTAGAAATTAAAATAAAAAAAAAAGGAAGAAATTGGAACAGTTCTTCGAGTATGTTGATCTTATCTGATTCTTGTATTTGAGCGAGTGCTTATCTACCAATTTCCGATCTCACCAATTAATTGGTCTTTTTTGTTTTAAATTTTCGGCTGTAACATTAGCAATAAAGATTAGATAGTTTAATTGTTTTATTGTATATTGAGATGTTCAATAAAAAAAATTCCATAAAAGAAATATAAACCATGATAATATAATATTGTCCGCTTCATTTGGCAAATTATTGAGAATACCAAACATATAGTGTTGAATTATTTATTTATTAATGCATAATCTTTAAAATTGAGATCTTGGTTATAAAGGAAAATTAGATGAAAGTCATTCACTAGGTTAAGTTGCATAATTTTTTTTTTATTATTTTTTTCCTTTGAGAAAACACTAGGTTGCATAATTAAACATAAAAACCTCTGGTTTGCGTTTCGATTATAGTCCATATATTTTTATTTTATCTTTTGGTTTAATCTATGAACCTCTAAATTTTTTTAATTAGTTTTTGATAAATTTTCCTTTAACATTATTTAACTGATTTCAGTCAATAATCTCTCATCTCAGTTATTTGTTTAGTCAATATTATATACAATTAAACCTTTATAAATTAATATAGTCGGAATCAAGGAAAATTTGTTAATTTGGTCAATCATTAAATTATCGATTTAATAATTTAACACATTTTCACTGAGTCGGGATCGGGAGAAACTATTATTTAATCGAAGTTGTTAATTTATCGAGGTTCTACTGTATTTCTTTTAGCTAATTTATTACTATCTTTGTTCCACAATATCTGTCACTTTTAAAGATTTATTTTGTTACATATTATTTGTTATTTTGGAACACCAATGCTACATTAATTACATATTTTTCATTTATACCATTATTAATCCTCCAACACTCTTTACATTAATTAATAAATAAGGTATTTTAGTCTAACAATATATATTTCCTAAAATCAAGACAAACTCGTCGAGTTTCTTAAAATTTTTGTTTATGCAAAGGTAAAAGATGACACATATTTACAAACTGAGACAGTCGAAGGCAGGTCAACCTATAAGTAACAAAATTATAAGGGTATTTTTTCAAATTTACATTATAAATAGAAAGTCAAATTAATGGCTTTTCAAAATCTCTTTCCATGCTACTACAAAGCCAAAATGAAAACATAATCGAGGACAAGTTCTAAAATATATAGAATTAGTTTTCTTTTGGATAATTGCTAATCCACATTAGTATTAATAATCATGATGATAACGATTTTCTTAATTTAACAAAGAAAAGGGCTTTTATCAATAATTGACCTTCCACGTGTGCACTTATGTGGAGCTTATTCAGATTTACTTTTTTAATATTTAATAATGTCAACTTACAAATATTTTTTTCTTAAATAATAATTATCACACACTTGTATTTGATGTAGAGTATAGACTACAGAGTTGTCCATTTCAAATTACAGCTCATCATATATTCATATCCACATTTTTTTTCTCTTTATTTATTATTTATTATTTTTAATTTTTATTTTAATGTTGCTAAACTCTCTTATCCGGCAAATAAAATCATTGAATTTTTTATGTAATTATGGTACTTGAAAAAGTTTTTTAAAGTGATTCTGATTTTTTTTTTTCTTTTTTCATTTATTTATCATAGTTTGAGTTTAGGTGTTTGCAAAATTAGTTTTTCTAGGATATTTGCAAATAACTTCAACTTTTCAAAATAAGAACTTAAAATCAACTTAATTCAGAATCACAGACTTTTATATTTAATAAGCTTTTCCAAACGATACTAATTGAATTTTGCAAAAGAGGCCCATTTTATTCAAGACTTGGTCTATAAAACGAGTGGGCTTATGTTTAAATTCGGTCCAAATGAAGAGTTGTTAACCACACATAATAATTGATTAATTATCCGAGGGTTAAATTGAATTTTTTTTTTAGGTAATTTCTATTTTCGCCCCTTTAGATTTTTGTAAGTATGAGTTTAGCCCCTTTACTTCTTTGTTTTTTCTCCCTTATTTTACGTAAATTTATATACTTTTTTTTTTCATATTTATCATTATAATTAATATATCATAGCTAAATCTTATACCATATTAAATAAAATTTATAAATATATTTTGTATTTGTTTTTGTGAATTCCTCCAATAAATCGGGGATGAGGTATTATTTCGAAAAAATATCATCCCTCCCTCGTAAAACGTCATGGGTACGTCCCTACACGTATATATATTTACTTGCATATATCAGCATTATCCAGTAAAATTTATAGTGTAAGAGCAACTCCAATGGAAGTATCAAATGGATTATCAAATCCATAAACCACCTTTTTGATATTTCAAAATTAAAATTTTCCACTTCAATGGGAGTATCAAAATGGGCAAGTATTTTGATATTTACCACTTTGAATGTAAAAATACATTCCGAAAATTGAGTTATCAAAAAAGTAACTACATAAACATCCAATCACAAAATGACACGTGGCAATTACAAATAAAACCACTAAAAAACTTCCAATTGATTACTGATTTAGATAACTATTTTGGAGTAGATAAATTGTAAATGGATATTAAAATATTATCTTAATTATCAAATAAGTATTTGATAATCCAATTTTGATGTTTAGCATTGGAGTTGCTCTAACATCTAATAAAACCATAAAAGGCTAGACATTTTCAACCTAATGAAAAGGCAAAGGGCTGAAGCAGTGAAAGATTGACCATCACTTCTATTCCAATGTGCATATACCATTTAATAAAATTGTCGTTCTTACTACAAAGAAAAATAATAATAATAATAATAAAATAAATAAAATAGCACCATTAATTAATATCCGGTTCTTTATTCCCAATTCTTGAAAAACAGCTAGCAGATCCAAACAACATTTAATGTACTAGGTCAGAGTGAAAAAAAAAATTAATATTAAAAAATTAAAAACTAAGAAATTAAAAATTAATAATACTCCAGTTTTTAGTATTTTCCACAGTCAAAGGTTCAGAAATGAGCATCTAGCACTAAAACCCAAGCTACCTAACTAACTAACAAATAGTTTCATTGCCCCCCTATATAAAATTAAATGTCAATAATAACTAGATGCACGAGAAAAACCACTCTACTATTACATTGCTGTTTGAATTCCATATTATTTATTTATTATTTTTTTTTTTGTGGGGCAAAAAATGCATTCAAAGGGAGGAGGGTCTAAAAGGGTCATTAAATTTAGAGACTTTTAATTGATAAAAGTCTCTAAAAACATTTTTTTGCATATTTACATGATACTATAACTACAAAAAAAAAAAAAAAAAATACTATGATGTAAAAGTATTTACAATATTGAAAGTTTCGAAGAATTGGTAATAAAATATATGAGTCAAAAAGATGAGAGTTTTTGTATAAATAAAGCATCATAGGTTTAATTTTAATAATAAAAAAAAGGGCATATGTTTTTGTAATAGAGAAGGAGTGTATATGTTATCATGAGTGGTCCAGAAGGCGCTCCTTGCTAGCTACCTGCATATATATACATATGTATAAATATATATATATATATATATATCACTATATATATATATATATATATATATATATATATATATATATATATATATATATATATATATATATATATATATATATATATATATATATATATATATATCATATTCGTGGGCCTTAAATCTTATTGTTGAAAAGGAGATTGATTTTTTGTTTTTCTTTTTCAAAAAACACAAATTATCCATTATGCTACTCAAATACTTGTTAGACAACCCAAGAGTCTTTGAGCTCGTAATAGTTGAGAACGCCTAAGGGTACTGTCACGTGTTTTGAAGTAGTCGAAGGGAGTGGTCCACCCGTTAACCTACAAACGGTTAGATAATACTAGGTGACACGTCGGAGTCGCCCCGACGATTGTCCTCCGACGTTCAAGTCAGATAAGTATCTCGATATAAACAAATAATGTTAATTAATTGTCAAAATAGTGTTAATGTGATAAATGGGCCTTTATTGCTCATTGGGTTGATCTGAGCCTTTATGGGCCAAATCCTAATTAGACACATCAATCCTCTGTATTAAAATAATCTCAAGATTAGTTAATTAAGTTCGGGACTTTATTCTTAATCTCATTTTATTATTCTCCCCACCATTAATGATAAAGGATAATATTAATTTTACAGTATAAGTCTAAAGTAATAAATAATAATAATAATAATAATAATAATAATAATAAATTGCTAAAAAGAAAAATAAATTGGTACGAATGGATTAAATGATAAGAATTAGGCAACGTCATTAGTGAGATTCAATCTGATGACGTGTTTCCTATGCGTCACAAATCACAATAACTATGATATACTATAACAATAAGGCTGCGGCTATATGCAATACTCATTCCACTTGTGCAAGACCAAATTAAAGAAAGATTCCAAAATATTCTATTTTATTAAGATGGAATGACAAGTATGCCCATAAATTAAATTGGCTTTTTTTTTTTCTCATGTAAGACCAAATATAAATAATGAGAAAAAAACAAAAATCGACACCAAGGTGTCGAAAAATTATGCTACAAATCGACACTTAAGCGTCGAATTTCATAGGTAAAAATCGACATTGACATGTCGAATTTATAGCACAAATTCAAATGTCGAATTTCATACCTCAAAATCGATATCTAAATGTCGAATTTTATACCTCAAAATCGACATCTAAATGTCGATTTTTACCTGTAAAATTCGACCTGTACATGTCGAATTCGTTTGCGCGGGATTTTTTTTGGAAAACCGATATTCTAGCTAAAAAACCCATAAATGCATACATTCTTGGGTTCTTCCATCGTAGAATCTTCTATTTTGATGTCTTCTGACTCCATACTTGTCATCTTTGTAAGATTTGTTGAGTTTTGATGATTTTGAATTTCTAGGTTTTGTGGGTTAATGGAGGAGGAAGGAGAAAGGTCTTGTGGGTTTTGGAAGATGGAGAAGATGATAGTTGATCTTGTGGTTTTGTGGTTTTGTGGTCTTGTGATAGGGTTTTTTGTGTTTTTGAATTTTTGGTCTTGCATATTTGGAATTTTTTATTTTTTTAATAAATAAGGGTATTATAGTATTTATACATTGAAAATTTTAATTTGGTCTTGCACAAGTGGAATTAGTCTTGCATATAGCCGCAGCCTAACAATAAACGCAAGTATAATAGAGTCACTTCGAATATTTTTATTTAATTTTATATTTTTGTTAGACATTAATTATTATATTAATACATGATTATTGATAAATATATATATTTTTGGGTTGCTAAAAATTCAAAAAATTAATGAAATTCAACAATATGTAAATTAATATTATTATTAAGTTATATATTAAATCATAACTTACTAATTTCACCAAAGTGTTATTTTATTTTCTTAATATTTACATTCTTCATATATATCTATATCTATATATATAA